GGTTAGAATACGGCAAAAGAAGGGGCCATTCAATACACAAATAGCTGCCTTTTCAGGACCAGAGTCTTCAGATCTTCCCCGAGGCAGAGACAGAGGGTGACAGGATGTTGGTTGACTCAGACTAAGGGGGAAAAAACCTACAGATAGGGTTCCGATAACAGCTCGCCGTATAAAAAAACAACAACTGTATAAATAACATTGAATTTAAATAATTACATAAGACTTCTTATGGAGAGGTTTGGAAAGGGGGGCCGGGGAGCAGTGATAACCCAAGTGACAAACAGAGAAGTTGCCTCTTGAGGGTTACCATCAGGCCAGACATGGAACTGATATCTGTCACCATATTTTACTGTCACTAGATTTCAGAGCTGGGGCTGGCTAACGTGGAGGGCTGACAGCTTCTCTCAGGAAACTCACCAACAGCACGTGGCCCAGGACCACAGACCACCGTGCCGGGTCCAGTTCTGCCTAATGGCTGGTTTCTTCCCTCCCAACAACCCTTTTTTCTGCCTCCTGACATTTGATGGCGGTGATTGGCATTATTTTGTATTTTTATTGTAACATTAAACTGTGTTCACAGATTCCACGTCTGATTAGTTGGCTGCTTCCTTGGCATGCTGGTCTACTTACGACTTTGAAAAAAGCAGAACTGCACACTAATGGAATTCTGTAAGATGAGGGAGCTGTGCCCAGCCCGTTTATCAGGGGCTTGGGTGGAGCCGGGCAGCTGCAGAGCTGGGCAGAGTAGCTCGTGGATGGGGTGAGAGGCTCAGGGTTCAAACAGATCTCAACAGGCTGGTGTTCCGGGCCAAAACCAACAAGAGGAAATTCAGGAGTGATTAATGTTAAGTCTTGCATAAGTGAAAGCTGGAGAGAGAGTTGGCCCTACTTGTCGTTTTGAAGGACAACAATAGCTTACACTGGCTAAGACAGTCACTTATTGTATTTATTGAGATGCCGTGTTCCTTGATGTGGATTTATATGTGTTTTTATTTAAATGCTGTTGGAGTAAAGATGACCATCTCCATTTTGTGGATGAGTTTTAGAAAGTCTAAGAAAGTTACCTGGAGTCACACAGCTTTTAACTATGATGTGATTGATACTGCTTGAAATAATGGGATCCAGTAAATGGTGAGACTGAAGAAGGAAGGGAGGGAGGGAAGGAGGGAGGGAAGAAGGAAGGAAGGAAGGAAGGAAGGAAGGAAGGAAGGAAAAAGAAGGGAAGAAGGAAACTTATATTTCATCCAAAGAAAACTGGATCATAGGGGCAATGTGCAGTCTCTTATTCTCAGATGCAGTGTTGTGTCCTGGACACTACATTTTGAGATTAAAAATGTGCAAATCGGGCTGGCTGAGTGGCGCGATGGTTAAGAACTGGCTTGGGACACCAGAGGGCCCCGGTTCAGATCCCACATTTGAGGGCCAGTGACACTGCCCTCTACAGCTAAGATGCTGAACAACAGCTCAACCTGGAGCTGGGCAGCCGTGAGTTGCCGACGGCGTGGGCTGCAGTCCCCTGCTGCAGTGGGTTGCCATGGGCTACCGTGTGTAGCCAGCAGCCAGTGTGAGCGGCTAGCAGCCACCATGAGCGGCCGTCCAGAAGCCGGCGACTGATCTGCCTCGGCCTGGAAGAGCGCAATGATGGTGCCAACTTGGGCCAGTGAAGCAACGTCCTCCACAACTAGACTGAAGAACAAAACAACAGCAACTTGTTTGTTCCCCTTTCCCTGATTCCCCAATAAAATCTTAAAAAAAAAAAAGTGCAAATCACGTGTGTGAAGAGAGGGGCAATATTCGTGAAAGAACGGGATGGCTGAAGGCACCGGATGGTTTGAGGAAGCTTGAGGAGGTTTTTCGGTAGAAGATGGTAGAGCTCACTGCCCAGCGCTCCAGCAGGATGTCAGTTCCAGGGAGGCACCGTGTCACTCTACGGAAGAAGTCACAAACACCAGTGTTCAGAAATGACCCCAGTGGGGCCTTATTCTGCTCTCACGGAGTTTTGTTTGTTCGTTTGTTGTTTGTTTTCTGAATTTTTGTGTCATCATCATGCTGCTGGCATCCAATGGAAGAGACGAGAACTGGGTAGAAGTCGGGGATATTACTGCTATTCTGGATTAAGGGCAGGAGGCCTGGCTGGTAGAAAAAGGCAGTGGGGTTAGAAAGCAAACCCCGTCCATGTCCATGGTCAAGGAGGGGAGGAAAACCCAGGGACCCCTCTTGAGATGTCATTTTTCTCTCTTGTTTTCTTAGGGAGGAAATATTTTATTGATCCAACCAGAGAAACCAAACGCCTGCATTTATAACATGCCTATTTTTGTTATTTTAGAATCGAGATTCTTTTTTGTTGTTGTTGCTGTAAGTAAAGGTGGAGAACTTGTAGAAAGAAACCTGACTCTAACCGTAAACCGAACAGATGGGATAGTGGGAATAAAAACAAATTAAAACAATATTGCAAAGAACGCTCAACTTTCACTTTAAAATGTATATGATGATGTTTTTCAACTTTTCACATTCAACCTATCAGTGTATCGAGTGACAAAATGAAAAATCCATTTCAGCTGTGTATATTTTAAACGTTTACCTAAATGATTTGGACTTACCCACCTGAAAGTCCAGATGAATGTATTAAACTGCTTATTGTATTTTTTATGAATTAAAACTTTATATTATGTTATAGGCAGGCCATAGTTATATTTGGTGACATTTAATGCAGAAAATTGAACTGAACAGCGGTCTAATTAGAACAGTAAATAGTATGGGTTTAATTAGCCCTTATTCCCGATGACAGATTTGATCAGTTGCCAGACTCTTATCCGTTTGCTTGACTGTTACCGAAATATTGCCTCTAGTCGGGCTGCTTACTGTGCTATAAATAGGTAGCTTGGCAAGAAGCCACGAAACCCACTGGCCGGTGAGACTTGGGTGAAAATTACTGGAAAAACCCCTCCTTCCTTCTAGTCATTATTTCTTCATTTCACATTTGAAGGTCCTTTCTACAGATCCCTCTCTTAATTTAATATATGTTTTTTTTCTTGCTTGGATGAGGTAACTTGGCCTAAGGGCTTAAGGAAACCTGTGCAATATCTCGTTCAGTTGCTGGCTGTATGTCAGGGTTTCCTTTGTAAACTGTCCTGTTCCCCAACCTAGAACTTACCTAGTCAAGCCTCGTCTGACTTGGACTTCCCGGCATGTCAACAGATGAGGTTCTTGCTTGTGTGTTTGCACGCTTGTTTTTAACTAAATTGTTAAAAGTGTTTGCTTGGGAAAAAAAACAAAAACAAAAATCAATTTTATAAAATGCAGAGAAACAACAAAAACAAAAGACATTAAAATCACCCAGAGTCCTCCCACCTAGAGGCAGCCATTGCTAACATTTAACCCTTCGCCACTCCCTCCTTTTTCTATGCGTGTCCACGTTTACCTGTATTAAAAATGGCACAGGCTTGTATTGTTCTCTAAAGATTGCCTTTACCCCCACAAACATTTTTTAAAAAAGAAATGTCTTCTGTGGTTTTCTTCAAAACCCGTGAAAGTTCAGACAAGATGAGTATCCATGGTAGCACCACCTGGCTTCACCACACTTACCATTTTGTCATGTTTGCTTCAGATCTTTTAGGGGGTGGAGGGGAATTAAACATTCAGCTGACGTCCCTCTTGTGTCTTTCCCCCACAACATGCACTCCTAGTTCCTCATCTTCCGTTCTTAGAGACAGTTTGGTGTGTTTCCTTCCTGCCCATATGCTTGTACTACTGTGCTTTTGCATGTATTTTCATATCTATAGATGGAGAGATAGAAGATACTGAGTGAGTTTTCATTTTAACATAGTGAAATCTATCAGCCTTTTCCTTGATAGTTTCCACCTTTGGTGACATTTTCTATATCAAGTCTATATAATTATTGATCTACAATTTTTCTAGTATTTTATGGTTTCAGCATTTTAGATACAAATTTCTGATATATCTGGAATTCATTTTGGTGTATTTTGTGGAAAAAATTATATATATATATATATTTTTTTTTTTTTTTTAATCATTTGTCACATTGACTTGTGGTCCCATACTATATCCTTTTACATGGGTCCATTTCTGGACACTTCTTTGTATACATTTAATACATCCGACTGCGACTGCTATGCCAATTCTATACTCTTTTAATTGAGGCAATTTCCCTCTCATTGCCGTTCTTTTACAGTGTTTTTTTTTTTTTTTCTTGGCTCTCGTAGCCATTTACTCCACCAGATGAACTTTATGATCATTTTGTTCGGCTCCAAAAAGTTTTCCTTTGGGGTTTTGATTGGAGTTGCTGCTGTAAATTTATGAATTCATTTGGAGAGAATTACCATTCTCCGGGATTGACCCTACCATTTAGGACAATGGCACATTCCTCCGCTTATTCAGGCCTGCTTTGGGCGCCTTAGTAAAGTGTTATAACGTTTAAGTTATACATACCCTGTCTTTTCATACTTGTGTCTATGCGTATTCCTAATTGACCGATCCCTATTTTCTTGAACCCTACAGCTCTATTGACTGTCTTCTTGAAATGGAGCCCCTCTCTCGGGGGGTTCCACAAACCCTCATGCAACAAGGTTTCCTTGGGTTAGCACCAGCTTGACAGACCTGGCAGAATTTCAGGGGTTGAGAACTTCTCAGGCACAAGTTGTAAAAACAACAGCAACAATATAATACATAGCATTGCTATTTTAGCCAGTATTTTTCCCAATTTTGGAATGATATAAAGCTTCAGCCTCAAAACTGAGCTTTGAAGCCATCTGGACACAACCTTTGTAAGTGGGAAAGGTACTCATGTGCCATGAGTTTCCCTATAAAGTTATCTTGTCTGGTCTTGTTTAAATGTTGTTCTTCCAAAGCAAAGCATTTTCAGGCAGCTTTGGTTTCGTGAACAGCTTAGGGTAAGACTTGGGAGGTGGGGGGAACCAGGAGAGGGTTGGGATCTTTCTGCCATATTTGTCTGTCATGCCTTATGTTTTCTCACATTCTAGACCTCGAAGAACACTCATTCAGATGAAGACAAAGACGGCAACTGGGACGCCTGGGGAGATTGGAGTGATTGTTCTCGGACCTGCGGGGGCGGAGCGTCCTACTCTCTGCGGAGGTGTTTGTCCGGAAGGCAAGTGGTGTCTTTACCTGCTCTCCTGTGTGGGACATCAGTGCCTCTGGATGGGCTGGGGGCTGGGAGCGGACTCCTTGGCTTTGGAAGGCCCTACGATGGTGGCGATAGTGGCATAACATCAGCTGGGTCTTAGTATTAGTCAGCCCCAAGTCACCATATTTAAAGAGCAATGGCTCCATTTTCATGCGCGTGACCACACCCCACATAGGAGGAGTCAGGGGTGTCAGACACTCGAGGCCTTGAGGGAGGGGAGGCCTGGCATGTAAGTCACTGGCCGGAGTTGGCAAGACTTGGGGTACAAGGGCAAGTCTTCTGGGTTCTGCTCTTGAGTTGTTGCAACTTTTAAGTAGTTTCTTATTTGCTTTCTCTGAGCCATCCATTGATCAAGAGGTAAGGCAAGTTCTGTTTTCGCACCTTAGTTACATTTTTATTAAATAGCATTTGTTAAATGTAAGATCAGCTTCTTAACATAAGTTTGTAATAAGTCCGCAATGAGTGCTTTTGAGGCAATTTGACGTAATTCTTGCATGGTCAGTTTAAATCCCAGCTAAGCATTTGACCTCAGTTCCCACGTAAGATGGAGATCAGGTAAATGGAGTCTGATATGCTCGTTCTGCACAAAAGACTCTAAGATCACGGCCACCATCTTTAAAGGTGGGATGTTGTCAGGTGGAAGCATCCATTGACTTTCCCTGTGTAGTGTCAAGGTATAGAGCAGAAACACAGGGAGAACATATTTTGTTTGGTTTAAGTTTGGATTTCATCGAGGTCACTGTTTTATGGCATTTTACAGTGTGACCGCACCCATCCTGCAGTTTCCTAGGGGCAGAGCAGAGCAGGGAGTTGAGAGGTGGTAGACGTGGCCTTTGAGGAGGAGGACTGTTGGTCCCCTCAGGACAGCATGGAAAGGCTGCTGGGGACACCCCCAGGGCGAGCTCTGACACCGAGCATGAACCCTAAGCAGGTTTCCAGCATGGTGACTGGAGAAGCGGAGGTCAGACTGTAGCTTCTCTCTGTGACCTCCAAGTCTGAGGGGTCTCAATAAGTTGCAATTAATGGTAGGTCTCATGTGGGAAAAGAGGGGTTAAGTTTAGTGCTGTTCGTCATCTTTTTTGTTAATAACATGTACTTGTATTTGTTCCAAAGAGCTGGAGGACTATATTAAGGTCCATGAATGACCACTTCCATCCGATAGTCAGCAGCCAAAGTGCTCATGTTTATTGATTCTTTTTTATTGATTTAAAAAAATTACTTGATTTTGCCTGGCATATAATTTTGCCGAGTGATCGATCTCAGGGTGTGTGTGAAGTGGCACCTTCTCTTCCTAACTGGGGTCAGCTGCGAATGCCAGGCATTGGATAAGGAAGGGCAACCACTCAGCTGCTTCGGTGCCCCTGCAACCTGCTCAGAAAAGGGAATTTGGGCAAAAGGAGAGGAAAAGTCCGTCTTGACTGTAGTGAGCAAATATCACTGCTCTCGGGTTTGGCACCCATTTAAAGCTGGCTCCTTCTATTGTGAGCGCTTGGGTAGATTTTTCCAACACACTGTCTCCCCCACACCCTCTCTGTCGCTGCCCCCCCCCCACGCGCGCACACACACACACACACACACAGTCCTGTGCTGTCGCTTGCCTGCTGTTCCCTTGAGATGTGCTCTTCACAGTGTTCTGTCTCAGCAATACCGCTCTTTCCTCAGCTGTTGGGCAGCTGGGCGTCTGTCCTCCCAGCCTCTCCCCGATTGTGTCTCCTCGCCCATCGCAGCCGTGTCCGTAAGTTCCGAGGACAGCCCCATGCTGGCTGTCCCACACGTAGCCCACACCTGGTTCACTGGAGACCCTCACGAGACCTTTGCTAAACAATCTCTGAAAGTTCTGGAAGCCAGTGTAGCAATAGTCCCTGTGCTTCCACGGGCCACTGCAGCTGGTCTGTCAGCCCTCACATCGCTCAGATGTGAACTAGATACCGACCACCTACAGGAGACACATACAGAAACCTAACATTTCTGTTGTCCTTGATTTGGGGTTAGCACGTTGACGCCCTCGTCCCCGCTCTTTCTTGGGGAGATCAAGGGGAGAGGTGGGATCACAGCATAGATGTCTCAAGGAAATCTCCAGAAATCCTGCTATTACCTAGGTCTCCAGCTCCAGACCCCATGTGGGTGACAGTGGTGAGTTAAACTCACACAGAGCCTGCCCTCGTGGTTCTTTCAGTTCAGGCGGACAAGGAATAAACAAGGATGTAACCAAATTATCTATCATTATAAACTGTGGCAAGGGGATGGATAACCCTTACCCAGGGGAGCCCTCTGTGCTGAGCGTCAGTGCCGAGACCTGACTGCTGAGAGGAAGTCAGTTGTGTCAAGGGGAGGGTAATGGGACAAAACACTCCGATTGTGGGAGTACTGTCATGCCGTGCTGGAGCAGGAAATGAAAAGAGTGTTATCTGCCTGGAGAGCAAGAGACTAGGGAGAAAGCAGAAAATCAGAGCTGAAGAAGAAGGCAGATTGGTAGCCCCGGGTAAACACTTCCATTCTCACACGTTTGAATTGCACTTACTAGTAAAATTTCCAAACAGCATGTTTGGGAATGATATAGGTTGTCAATTTTGTTTTTGGTCATTTAAGAACAAAAAGAAATTTGGTTTTAGGTGTTACAATCTCCCAATTTGCCCACACTCCCGAAGCTCGTCTAATGGGAAAAAATAGCCGAGACTAGAAAACATTCTTAAACCAAATATTGTTAAAAAAAATTAAATGAGAGTGTATGGTCTGTGGTATTTACAGTGAGATAAGTGCGTGGTGATATACGTTCTTTTTCCGGCTTGGTTCCTGGCATGGCATCAGGCCTGTGGCACGCCCGGCCATTCTATGTCTCTGAGAAGAAACAGGGACAATAACACCATTTCTCTGCAGAAACACTAAATTAGATTAATTCAAAATAAGGGCAACAGGTTTGTTCATAACACACTCGTCCCCACTCCCCACCTTGTAGGCAACCCCAAACCTTATAGACCCACTCCCATTTTCAGAACTTTCACTCTAATTTTGGAAGTACTCCGAGATTATTAAGAAGGAAACCTACTTCCCTTGGAACGCTTATCAGGCCTCTGTATCCTTGAACAGCCTTACCGACGTATTAAATCTTCATAAATATTGAGTTCTTGTGGTCGATTTTTCTTGGAACAGGAGTGTGGAGGTAGTTACATATAAAACCAAACAAAATCTGCCCCAAAGCTTTTGAAATCTTTTTGGTGCCTTTTCTTCTCTTTTCTTTTCTTTTTCTTTTTCTTTTTTTTTTTTTATCAGTGTGCTCCTTTAAATTCACGACTTAGGGAACAGGATGAATGTCGCTATTTTGCTCATTTATTTCTCTGTGGATAAAGTTAGTTCAGAGTTTGATTCCATTTACATACTCAGTCAGTTCTCTTGCACTGCAAACCATATGCCAGCCAGAATGTCTCTTTCTCTTGCAAAAATTCGTAACTTGATATTCTAGTCAAGTGCCAGCCATGGGAAACACAGGTTTAAGTTAAGTACTATGCTAAAAAAATTAATATATTTTTATTCTTCAAAACACATGCGTCTCCGTTTTTAAGACACTAGTTTTTGAGTCAATATATCGTCAAATGAATGTAACAAATTATAGTGCTTATAAAATCCAGGGAAATTTTATTAATGTTTTTAGTGTATCCTCATGTGGAATCAACATATGCTTTTTTATACATTCATAACTTTATGGCTTCAAAAATCTTCAATTTCAGGGTGTGATGAACGTGGCAGTGGAGGGAAAAATACATAATTGTAAAATGATGTTCTTGAACTTTCATATACTCCTGATAACCATTAGCTCTTGCATAAAATAATTAGAATGAAATTAAAAACTTGGAAGTAATATTTCTGTAGCTCCGTTGCTTTGAGCCAAAGGAATTATTTCCAGAAAAAAAAAAAAGCTGGCAGGTTCCTGCTTGGGGAATTAGGACGCCAGTGTCCTTAACTTTAAAATAACTTGCATTTCATTTTATGCCTGTTTCATAAAGTGGTCATTCATTTTCATACGGAATTGTAACCAAAGCGCGCCACATGGATAGAGGCCGGCCAGGGGGCTCAGTGTGCGTTGGGTTGAACAGAGTGAAATAGAATGTTAAAAATGCCAGATGTTAAATAAACCTGACTACTGACTGGCTAATAAGGGGACTGAGAGGTCACCCTGCATCTTTCTATGCACATCCTGGCACTTAGTAGGCTCACTCTAAGAAGTGGCTGGAGGAGGAAGGCGCCCAGAATGGTAGGTACTTCATAGTTTGAGAATTCATGAAATAAAAAGCTGTGTTTCCATATCACTTGGCTGCAGCTGGGGTGGGGTTTATAGTGGAGATAGACTTCAGTTTTAGGTTTAGATTTTCAGGTTCAACACCCCAGGTGCAAGTCACTGCCTCACAGTTAGGACAAAGCAGATGACAGTGGGGTGTAGACCATGACCCTGTGGTCTGCGTAGCAGGTTGCAACGCAATCATAAGCTGCCTTCAGTGGGTGTGTTTGTTCTTTCCTTTAACTTTAAATGGGTTTTTTTCTTTCTTTTTTTTTTTTTGTTTTACAAAAGTAATTTTGCTTTTTAGTGAATTAGCCAAAGTTAAACAGTTATTAAAAATGCATCTGAACAATTATGCATATTTATGAAGTTCTACTGCACTTTTAAAGAAGATGCCACTCTGTATGTTTCAGCAGTTTTTGTATTCCAGTATTTTAGATCAATTCAAATACTCTTTTATTTATTTATTTTTATTATTATTATTTTTTTTAGCTGAGCCATCCTGCCACCTGTTGGCAGCTCAGCGGCGGCTCAGCTCGGGCCAGGAATTGAACCAGTGACCCTGTTGCTCAGAGCTCGCACTCTTGAACGAGCTCTTAATCAACTGAGCCACTCGGCCAGCCCTCAAATACTATTTTAAACAGCAACTTTGGCTCCATAGCTCAGGGGTTAGAGCACTGGTCTTATAAACAGCGACTTTGTAATTTGCCCCATTGAAATTAGAATCAGAAGCTTTTTAGGGTGATAAGGAGGCCTGATACAGAAAGCTTTCGGTTTTCACTTCCCGAATCTATTAGCTGCTTTCCTTGATTGGGACTTTTCCAAAATAGGCAGAGCATTTTAAATTCCCCTTTCACTTTTTCTGTAACTTATTTTCTTTTATCCACACATAAAAAGCACAATGAAAGACGCCGTGTAAGGAAAGGACCTTGTCCACAGGTGTACCTGTTGTTTCCCAGGAGACCGGGGGGGGGGGGGTGGGGGGGGGTGTTGTTTCGCTTTGACTAAGAGACACTTTTCCACCCTCATGCAGTCATCCCGCCAGCCTCCCAACTTTGCTACTTCTTGAATATTTTAAGGTTGATGTAGCCTCATCGAGAGTTTAATACGTTTCAAAGTCATGTACCTACGACAAGTCACAAAGATGGAAAAAGCCAGTGTTCCCAAATGCTAAGACTGGGTCAGCCTATTGCGATCACCTGGGAAGATGCTCTAGACCAACTCTATTCAACAGGGGCCACTCCTTGGGCACCCGTCTGTCTTCCAGTTCAGAAACGTACCTGTCCTTTAGGCAATGCTGTTGGAGGCAGCTGTTACATCATGCTGCTCTTTTCACTCCGAAACTTCCTTCTCCCAGACGCCTTATAAAAAACACAAGACCTGAGGTCAGTTGGGGGAGGCTGTGAGATGTAAATGAGGGCGAGTGTGTCTGAGAAGGATGGCAAAGTTAGAAAAAGCAACAAGAAGTATCAAATATCAGACAATAAAAGGTCAACAAGCCACCACAGAAAAAGGAACACATAGAAGATTTTTTGGGAGGCATAAGAGAAGATAAAGCAATGAGACGTGTGTAAGGGAAAACCGTAGGTCAAGAAGGAAGTTATAGGAGCCGAGAAGGGAACTCTGACTTAAGAACGAAGGTGTTGGGGTGAGCGGTTCGCTCAGTTGGTTAGAGCATGGTGCTGATAACACCAAGGTTGCCGGTTCGATCCCCGCCTGGGCCACTGTGCGTTGCGCCCTCCCTAAAAGAGTCAACTATGCCATTGTAGCATGAAAGCAACATGTAACCACTGACCATGGCTGTTCCCCAATAAAATAAAATTAAAAAAAAACAAAAAAACAACCCAAATTCTTTAAAAGAAAAAAACAACAACAAGTGAAGGCATGTTTGGAATTAGCCGTGATCAGAATCGCAGCCTGAGGCTGGCCTGCGGCACTGCAAATAAAACCTTGGGCACTCTAGACAAAAGCACTCACCACCTTCAGTCAAAAACCGTGAAAACAAACGCACAACTAGATCCACCCTGACTACCGTTTTTACTTCAAATACTAACAAAACGAAACAACTATAAACTTCCAGGCAGAAAAAAATAACACACATGTGCAAAAGACTAAAGCGGAGATTTCTCTGCAAGTGTAAATGTGAGAGTTCAATGAAGCACGCCTACAGTTTTGAGGACAAAGAACCATGAAAAATTAATGTTTTTATTTTGTATTTTAATAATAATAATTATTAAAAATTATTAAAAATATTTAAAAATTATAATAATGCTGTGTTGCCTTTCCTATGTGAAATGCAAAGATTCAACAATATACCAGCCACGTACCCTGTTTAAAAAAGCAAACAAATACTGTTTAGCCAACCAAGAGTTCAAAACTCGTACATGAAAAAGGACTGGCCTTGTTTTCCACATCTAGATATGTATTCTAAATATGAGCAAAAAATGAAAGCATAAAGATGTTTAGCAAAGCATTCTTATATCCTATGAAAAGAAACAGCCTCAGCCATCCCGCTTTAGGGAAATCCCAAAGGGAAATGAAAAGTTCACACAAAACCTGTACGTGAATGTTCATAGCAGTTTTGTTCATAATTGCTGACCACCGTAAACAACCCAGATACCCAGCTGGTGAAAGGATAAACTGTTGCACACTCATACAATGGAATAACAATGGAATACTACTCAACAATGAAAAAGGAACAAATTACTGATACATGTACCAACACAGATAGATTTCACAATATGTTCAGTGAAAGGAGTCAGCCTCAAAAAGCTACATACTGTGTGATTCCATTTATATGACATTCTGGAAAGGGAAAAATGGATCGGACAGAAAGCAGCCGTTGCCAGAGGCTGAGGGTGGGGAGAATTTGACTACGGGGGGCATTTATGGGGTGATGGACCCATTCCCCCCATATTGATTGTGGCAGTGCCTATACAACTGTATGGGTTTGTCAGAACTCATAAAATTAGACACCTCAAAAAAGTGGATTTTACTCTATGTAAATTGAAAAAAGTAGGGAAAAAGAAGAGGCAGCATAAATAACCACAAAAGGGCATGTCTGTGCAACAATGTGAATATACTTATAATACTGATGAGTAGACCTAAAAATGGTTAAGATGATACACTTTGTGTTATGTGTCTTTTACCACAATTTAAAAAATTTAAAATTCAAAACTGCAAAAAAAGTAAGGTCTATGTAGTGGACTCTTATGTAGTCATTAAAACAATTGTTTTCCTGAAGAATTATTAATAAAAGTGAGAAAATGCTTATCATAATTATCTTAAAGCAAATAAACAGATGAATTAGCAGTACGATTTCACATCTGTAAATAAATCATGGATCAAATGCTGGAAGATTAAATGTCAAGATATTAAGAGTAGAGGTCTTGGTGATGGGATTTTGAATGATTTTCCTCCCCTATACTTCTTGGCACATTATTATTAGTTTTCACTTATGCTTTTTGGTAATCAATACAAATAGAATCATCAGAAAATATGTACAATGACCGAAATAGGCTCTATCAGTCATTTCATACTTGTAAAGGCTCGTATTTCAATCATGCCAGCAAAAAAACAACCTTCTCAAGTCCACTTTAAGTTTTTTTCTACTCTTCCACAACTAAATATTTTGCCACATTAAAATAGCGTTGACAGGCTTTGAATTCGAGACGATTTAGCTTTTCTTGCTCCATGTATGCCACTGAATTGACCAAGAAAACCTAAAGGGCTAGCACGTATAACTCCATGGAAAAACTGGGAAAGGTACCATTAATACATGCAATCTCTTTGGAGTTAATGTAAAACAGAGAGCAGCAAGCTCTGACCGAGGAAAGTCCCTGCCAGACGGAATTGCAAACGTCCAGAGGGAATGTGTGCCTGGAAAATGCATGGCAGGGTCCCAGAGCAACTGGCTGGAGGAAAAGACACGGAATGTGGCAGCCATCCTTGGATAGTCTCAAGCCGATGTATGACTTCAGACTCCACAGTATTGGTATCCCAAGAAAACTACCCGGCGCTGTTTTGTAGCGTCCAATTTAGTAAGGCCGGGGGTTGAAATATATAAAATACAGTTGCATTGCCTGGAGCACATTTCTGACAGAGACCGTTGTATCGATTAAGAAGCTCATGGAGTGCCCAGCCAACTTGGGTTACTTCAGTGAGCGAGGAAGAGAAATTTTGTAGGGACACGCTACCCAAAATGCTTCTGCCTGCAGCTTTCCTTTTTTTTTTTTCATAGAAAAAAAGGAAACACACACACACACACACACACACACACACACACACATTAATTTAAGTGGTTATGTGTATTCCTGGGTAAAAACTATGTGTAAGTAATACTATGACATTCATGCAACTAAAGAATTCACTCTTTTTAAAGTAACTCTTCCATGAGACGTTGTGGCCTCCTAATCCCTGAAAGTTATTTCTTAGAATTTAAACTTTGAATCTTTGAGAGGTAATGGGCAGTAATAAAAGTTTTACCAGTGCCTTGTTTTGGTGGATTTTTTGTTTGTTTATTTTTTTGATACCACTTTTATGAAATCATTATTTTCTTTTCTTCCCCCTCTTTTTTACCTTTAGGAATTGTGAAGGGCAGAATATTCGATATAAAACGTGCAGCAATCATGTAAGTTCTGTATATAAAAATATATAATCTAATAACATACATTCACGTTTTAACTTATAATTTTATGATGTGTACTGGAAAGCTAATGGTCTCTTGGTACCCTTTGTGGAAAATTTGAATATTTGTTTAATCGACAACAGGTTGTGTATATCTCATACCTTCCATTTATATGACCTTTTTTAGGCCAGTTCATATTTATGATCTAATTTGGTAAGTATTTAATAATTTCTGAATGCCTAGGAACAATACAAAATTCCTGTAAATGCCTTCGAAGTTCACATGATTTTATATCCAGGATCCCCTTGGACCCTCACACTCTCTGAGATGTAGGCACATAAGGTGTGGTTGTCTCTCTTTTGCAAACGAGGGGACCGGGGCTGAGGAAGGTGCACTTATCTTCCACATGCCTCATAGGAAGAATACAGACTTGAACTGGCTGCTGCTGTTTTTTTTTCTGCAAAGTGTGTTAAAAAGAACTATAGGTGACTTGAGAACGTCGCACCTAAGGAAGGGTTTATAAATCTCTTTTTTTAATTGGGGTGACATTGGTTAATAACATATATAAGCTTCAGGTGTATAATTCTATAATACATCATCTGTGTATTGTTTGTGGTAACCACCCAGAGTCTAGACTCCTGCCATCACCAAACACTTTATTCCCTTCTCCTATTTCACTCTCCCCCCAATCTCCTTCCCCTCCGACAACCACCAATCTCTTCTCTGTATCTGTGTGCTTGTTTTGCTTTGTTTTACTCGTCTATGCCACATATAAATGAAATCCTGTGTTATTTGTCTTTCTCATTTCATTTAGAATAATGCCCTCGAGATCCATTTGTGTCGCCATAAATGGCAATACTCATCTTTTTTATGGCCGAGTAATATTCCGTTGTATATATACATGCGCCATCTCTTCTTTAGCCAGTCATCCATCGGTGGACACTTGGGTTACTTCCATATCTTGGCTGTTGTAAATAATGCTGTAGTGAACATAGGGATGCATGTACACATATCTTTTTGCGTTAATGTTTTGTTTCCTTTGGATAAATACCCAGAACTGGAGCAACTAGATCCATATGATAGTTCTATTCTTAATTTTTTGAGGAACCTCCATAGTATATGAACTTTATTTACTCTTAGGCTACATCAATCAACACTAAAAACAGGATTCAAATATTTTGCTGTACAAACCTGAAATCTCATGAGGACAGACCCTGGCAGCTGCCTTCTCACTTGCCCACCTCAGCAGGAGACACTGGGGAAAAGCAGGCTCCGGGCACTTAAGGAAAGATTGAATGTTCTTTGGTTATGCAGCGTGGAGGTGATGGACATACGATTCAGAGCGCGTAGATGAAGACGAGAAGCTCTACCCCTGGTGTGCAAGAACCCGTGCCTCACGTGGCAGGGGAGGCTTGACCAGTAAATGAGGACGCACTGCTCTCCTGGAGAAATCAGGCTTCGGTTCAACGGCTCTCCCTGGGTTCATTCTGTTGGGTCAGGGGAGATGGAGCTTTGGGCCGAAGGGTCTGAAATATTAGGGGGACAGAGCATGCATGTGTGTTGGGGCTCCCAGGTCACTGCTGTCTTCAGATATAACCCTCTGATGAGCACTTAGCATAGAACCTTAAAGCCAGGACTGAGCCCCTGAGGCCTCGGCAAAGAATTATCCTTATCAGGGGTAGTGCATAGCAAGTGGAGAATTTCCAAGGGAAGCCGTGCATGTCAGCAGGAACGTCTAAGACTTGAATTCACTGACTACTCATATTTTTTTATACCAGGGTTTATGGGATTAAAGGCAATGCTGAAAGAGAGGAACGGGATAATATTTTTAAAATAAGCATATCATAATTTCATAAGAGTGTTTAGTAGTATGAGCGCGTTTTTATATGAGTAGGAAGGGAGACATGGTTAATTCTGCACAGCGGGGTCCCTAGACTCCCTAAAGATGGATTCCCAGAAGACATGACATTTGATGGGATCCTTGAAAGATCCTTTACATTGTGCATCCTGTCACGGACTAATTTCCAACACTTTTCTCTTAGAGGTGTTCTTTCTTTTCCTTGGCCACTGCTGCTACTCGGGGCCAGAGCCACTTCCTCACATGTCTGTCTCAAGAACTCCAGTTCATCCTGCCATCACACTGGCCCGAAAATGCCACCTTTTCTATGTCACTCATTTCTGTGGAGCCTTATGATTAAACCCCTCACTTGCATTCAAGGATCTCCAGAAGTTGGTTGGATTTATCTCTGATTCAACTCACAACTTTCACCCTCCTGTCCCAGGCTGTGTGCTTCATAGACACTGAATTTATTTCTGCCATTCCTCTTTTCTTTTTTTTTTAAGATTTTTATTGTGGAGTTGGGGAAAGGGAACAGTGTTGGGGAATTGGGGAAGGGGAACAGCCAAGTTGTTGTTCTTCAATCTTAGTTGTGGAGGGCGCAACTAGCGCAGCTCTAAGTCCGGTCGCCATCCAGCCATTGGTCAGCAGTGCATGGCCACTCAATTCAAGGTGCCGTGCTTAGTCTTAGTTGCAGGTGGGCATAGCCCACCATCCCATGTGGGAGTTGAACCAGCAACCTTGTTGTTAGGAGCACATGCTCTCACCAGCTGAGCCATCCTGCCACCTGTTGGAGGCTCAGTGGCGGCTCAGCTCGGGTGCAGCTCACTGACCCATGTGGGAATCGAACTGGTGACCCTTTTGCTTAGAGCTCACGCTCTTAACTAACTGAGCCACTCTTCTGGCCCCATTTCTCTTTGGTTATGTTGTTTCTTATATCTTGTCCTATTTACATCACACCATCCTTTACACCCCATCTGAAAGGTCATTTTTCCATGATGCATTCTTTGCTTACTCTGGCTTACAGTGGCCACCTACAATAATTTATTTTTATGCTAGCGATTTTGGCACTTGTTAGAGAAGAGGATCACGAAACGGAGCTCATACTAGAGCTTGGATACGAAGAGAAAATAAGATGTTCAAATTTGCTCATACAAAAATTGTATTTCTCCTCTGAGTCCCTACTCAGTGGTTGTCTGGGGAGACATTGACTAGGTATCTAATCCGTATTAAAGCTTGGTGCAGTCCTAGGCTATAAATCATCTCTTAGGTAATGATCTGTGTCTCTTGCATAAAAATACTCGGTTTATTGGATAATCTCCCTATCTTGGCTTCTCTGCTGAAGTTGTCCATGGGATGGTTTACAAATTCCTTTAGGAAGGAAAAGAGACCCCTGTCTTCAGGATGGACCTTGAGTGGGTGGCCCTCTTCCGTGTGTTCCTCCTTTCTCTTCTTTTCTTCTTCCTCATTCTCTCCCTCCCTTTCTTCCTCCTAATTCCTCTCCTCTTCTTCTCTTTTCTCTTCTTTTCTCTACTTCCCAGGCTGGCTTCCCCCCTCCTGACCGAGTCAAGTCTTCTGAGCTAGGATCTATTTCTTTATTAGACCTGTTTTTTTTTTCTTTATTAACTCCAGTTCACCAATTTTTAACTTAACTCTTGAATAACGATGTTATTTCCTTCCTGGCAAAGTCCTACTGTAAGTCTGCAAAGACTGAAAATGACCCACTTGTTTCCTTGTATTTCACGCATGTGCGTGCCACATCCCCAGTAAGGGAACAACTGGTGGGTTGTATTTTTCTTTCGCGCTCTTCAGAGCCTGTAAGCTAGGCAAAGCCCATAAAGTAGATTTAATAAGTGTTGTCTTGAATTTAACTGATAGCAATAAATGTTCCTGAAAGCCAAGGAATGTTCCTGAAAGTTTATTAAACTATTTAAGTCGCAAGAATCTCCCTAGATTGAGCCCGGGCACGGGACCCAGCTGAACCAGACCAACAGGCTTAGTGTTGACACGGGTAGGATGCCAACTCAGTGAAAGCATTAAAGGTAAGTAGTCAGTGTCCTCCAAGATTACTCGAAAGCAGTATCCCATAATGAAATGCTTGTTGCTCTGGGAATCAGTCTTGGCTCTGTCATATTACACTTATGTGTCTTTGGGCTCGTGGCTGCAGACTTGCTACACCACAATTTTCCCCATTTATGAAAAGGGGGGAAATGATAATCCAGGCCTACCTAGGTCAAAGGGTGGTAGAGGAGAAAGTATGTCAGCAACACTCCCTGGTAAACTAGAAGGCTTTAGCCAGATACAGCTGTCTTAATCAGAGACCGTCATTTGCTAGGCGCAGAAGCCCACTCAAATGATCTTTGTAATAAGGAAAAAAAATATTAATATATTGCCTTTCTGTATCTGTTCTCTTCACTTGGGACATTGGTATACTATTAAGTAATTATCATTATTTGGGAGGTTTGCGCTCAGAGTTGAAGAGTGAAATGACATTTTTGCCATCCAGCATCTTGCTTTGGAAATATCGGATGGGGAGAGATCAGCAATTTGGTAAAAATTAAGTCTTGAGTCATCGAGACTCGTCCAAACAGTACTTACTGTTATGATCAGAGTTCCCTAGGGCATTCCGTTACCTTAGAATTTATTTGCTTTTGTTGTAGATGGAATTTGGAAAAGCTACATTATCTTTTTCCATCCTGCAGCCAGTGGAAGGCAGGCACTTGGTTTCAGTGCCGAGCAGTGGCTGGGGTCCTGGTGACAAAGGGTGGAAAGGCAGATGAATTAAACAACAGCAACAAAGAAACACACACAAGGCGTCCTGAAGCAATAGCAGTTTGGGGCCAGTTCAAGTAGGGGTGAGGACTCCCTCACACTGAAATGCCTCCTGACGGTGTGGGTGATGGTTAACATTCCCTAGGGAGACTTTGTATGGCCTGGAAAAATGGAAAACATCCTGTTTCTCTTGTTTCAAAAAGAAGGAGACTGTGTAATGCATTTGCAACTGTGTATCTGAGATGGTTAAAATAGAGCGGAACTTGGCATGCTGGTGGTGTAAGCCTTAGTTATTTGGGAAAAGACACACGGGAGGAAGAGTGATCAGAACAATTGAGGCGATTCCCTGTATAAAGGTCATTGTTGTGGGGGTTTTGGTAGAATCCCACAGCTATAGATTCAGTTTTGAATTAAAAAAAAGAAAATGAAGGAATGAGGCGACTCTCAGGAGAGAGAGGCAAGCGGGGTCCCTGGTCTCGTGGGGCTCTGGTAAAGGTGTGTAGCCTTTTTTTTGTCTCGTTTCACTGGGGGACATGCCTGGGACCCTTTCTCTGTGCCTCCAGGACTGCCCTCCCGATGCAGAGGACTTCAGAGCCCAGCAGTGCTCGGCCTACAACGATGTCCAGTATCAGGGGCGTTACTACGAGTGGCTGCCACGATACAATGACCCCACTGCCCCCTGCGCACTCAAGTGTCACGCACGGGGACAAAACCTGGTCGTGGAGCTCGCACCCAAGGTCCTGGATGGAACTCGTTGCAACACTGACTCCCTGGACATGTGTATCAGTGGCATTTGTCAGGTAAGCCACACCTGCTTCCCAGTCCTGTAGTTCAAGGACGTGCCACGCCCACACTCAACGAAGAGAGTTGTTTTCTTCTTTTTGGTTCATGCAGATGAAATATTGTCTTTGATAATGTTAAGGTGCAAGATGCTTTAGAGAGTGTATGACTTGCCTTTAAATTGTGTTTCGCTTATTTAAAATAGTGCAGTTGTTTGCTTATGTACAATCAAAAGATTGCAATACACGACCTCTTATGATTCTGCTAGGTCAGTGGTTCTCTAGCTTGAACATGTGTCAGAAGTGCCTGATGGACCCCAACCCCAGAGCTGCCGATCCGGTGGGCCTGGCGTGGGGCACAAGAACCTGCGTTTCTAACACGTTCCCAGAAAACGCTGAGGCTGCTGGTCCAGGGACCCCACTCTGAGAACCGCTGCTTTGGAAGGGCGGTAGGCTCTCTTGAGCCTTTCGATTCACTGTTTCACTAAAACTAATTCATGGTTTCGGGTCTTAGGAGCAATGACTTATTTGCTGTAACGTTAGCATGAATGCATGCCGCAGATTTTTCAGAGGGGACTTCACAGNTGTGTGTGTGTGTGTGTGTGTGTGTGTGTGTGTGTGTGTGTGTGTGTGTGTGTGTTTAAACCTAAATAGCAGAAGGAGAAAATAAATGCAGGAAAAGTAACATGAAAAATGCTTGACAGAAAGTTTTATTCAGCAAAAAAAAAACAAAAAACCCAACCAAGCACATCTAAAATATCAAAAAATAAAAATCAGGAATACAAAAGTGGGAATGAGGTTGTGAAACTTCTCTTTCCTTGTTTTACCAGGGCATGTATATATTTAGGTTGGTGTAGTTCTAGTGGGACTTCATAGTGAAAATAAACGATCTGATATAAATTACAGTCCTTCTGGGTTGGAACTGATGTTTATTGATTAGTTAATGCCGTGTGGACAATTTATTTCCTGTACATCTTGCTACTTAGCGAAGCTGTGATCTGTGGCAGGAAATGAGACATAGAAAAAATATGCTGGACTGGAGCATTTATGTGTGGGAGGGGAGTGAGTGGAAGCAACTTAATGAGCCCTCAGGTCCACCCAGCGATTGCAAAATCAAACAAGTGAAACCCGTAAAATGAACGTCCATAATGAACAGACGTGTGATGGTGAGTTTGGGTGAATGCAGTCATAACTTGGTCTCACAGTAGAAGGGTTAAGAGTGTCGTTTTGGATTCTGACCCCTGCTCTCCTGATTAGGAAATCTGCAATCTTGGGCAAGTCACTAAAACTTGAAAAACTGCAGTTTTCTTAATTATAGAAATGGGTTTTTATTAGAACAAATGAGGTAATTTATGTCAGGTTACTCAGAATTGTGCCTGTGAGCATAGTAAGTGCTCAGCATGGTTTTAATAACTTATACTTACTATTATGTGATTAAGTGGTCTTCTAAGACCTTTGCGTAGAGTACCTCATTGGACCACCTCTACAACCCTTTGAAACAAATATTCTTGTTTTTCTCATTTTATAGATATAATTGAAGCACAGAGTGGGTAGGAAATGTGCCCAAAGTCACACAGCAATTATAAGTGGCAGAGCTGATATTCCAGCCCAGGTTGTGTGGCTTCAGAGTCTGTGATCTTAACCACTATTCCATATTGCCTCTCACAGTAGTTTGTGAACTAAAAATAATGCAAATGACTTTAAAGAGTGATGAGGAGTAGCCTGGGAAGATGGCACAGTGATTAGTAGTGTCAAGGATCTCTTACACCAAATTTCAATTAAAAAGTTTTAGAATAGTTTCACATAATGAATGTGTTTAGCAGTTATCATTACCAGTACCACCATCATCACCACCACCACCACCACTACCACCATCACCATCACCATCATTACCACCACCACCACAATCACCATCACCACCACCATCATCGCCACCACCACCATCACCATCATCACCACCACCACCGTCATTACCACCACCACCACCACCACCACCACCATTGCCACCACCACCATCATCGCCACCACCACCACCATCTTCACCACCATCACCAAATCTAGATGTTCCCAGACATGGACCTACTGTCATCAACATTGTAGGATGGACTATAGAGAAGGCGCCTTTTCTCCATCTGGTGTGTTCTCAACCCCTGGATTCTATATCATTAGAAACATTTTAAAGCAGTGTCAGACTCACACCTGGTTGGCCGTCCCATTGTGAATTTATGATAGGAGGTTTTAAGTGGTCTATACTTAGCCTGTCCTGAGGCACAGCGTCTACTGTATTTGTAGTCAATTCCCTCTTCCATCCTGATCTTCAGCTCTGGGTCTAGCTCCAGACTCGGACATTCAGCATCAGGCCATTTGAGGTTTAAACTGGCCCACTGTAACAGGCAAGACAAGGAAAGTATAGTAGCAATATTTATATCACAATGAGTTGAATTTCAGACAAAACATCACAAAGATGAGTATTTTATATCCATCGATAATNGGGGCGGCAGCGAAAGGATAGGATTCCACCCGCCATTCCTTTGATCTCTGGAAGAAAAATTTAAAATAACGAATGGCTGGTATTCCATCTACCCTGTTATGCTCAGATCAAAAGCCGTCGTAACAGCAGCAAATGAAGATGCTCACCACCTCCAAAGTGTCAGGTCCTCCCAGGCACCTCAGACATGTCACAGGCTCAGAGAGGAACCACCAGTTCGTGCCTCACACCAGCTGCTCCTTTCCTCGTCCTTGCATCTAGGAAAGGAACTCAACTCTCCGCAAAACTCCAGGGTCACTCTTGATCCTTCTCTTTGAACCCACACATCGAATCCATCGCTAGCTCCTGTCAGGTTAACCTTCAAAGTCTATTTTGAATCCGCTGTTTCTTTTTGTTGCCACTGACTTCTTTCTTAGTCTAAGCCTCCACCAACTTCTCTGACCGTAAACTATTAGTCTTGATTTTTATTTTTTATTAATTTATTTTAAACTATAGTCGACACACAATATTATGTTCATTCCAGGCGATGCAACATTTATATACCTTACTAAGTCATCGCCACAGTAAGCCCAGTAACCAACCGTCACCGTACATGGTTATTACGTGATTATTGACTGTGTTCCCTGTGCTCCAGAGTGATGGTCTTAAAACTTAAATCGGTTTGCCACTCCTCCCACCAGAACGGCTCACTGGCTTGCCATTGCACTGATGATGAAATCAGGAAGGACCCTAGCTTGTCTTTCCAGACTGTTCTTGAACTCTCCTCTTCCTTACCTTTTCTTTAAAAAGACTTAATGTTTTAGATTCACAGCAAAATTGAGTGGAAGGCACAGGGATTCCTCATATGCCCCCCCACGGCCCCTCATATACGCACAGCCTCCCCGGCTGTGAAAATCCCTCAGTGATACATCATTATCGCCCAGTCTGTCCCATCAACATGCCAGGGTTTTTATTGGTCAACAGAAGCCAGAAATCTGTATGTTAATGTGAAATGTCCAGTTGCCAACAGCACCTTGGCTGTTAATAACCCTACTTAATCACCTAATGGTTACATTGTATTCCTGTGTGATACAGGCTGGCTTTTCCTGCAGTAAACTGCAACCCCCAAAGCTCAGGGGCTTGAAACAAAGATTACTTCTCGATGATAACGCTGCTTGCCCATCCCAGGTCAGCAGGGGCTTCTGCCCTTAGAATGTCTGAGAGACCCAGACTGAGGGAGGCTTTATTCAAACATGTGTTGCATAATAACCTCAGTAGTGAGAGGGAAACTTGTGACTCATGGGCTGACCCTTACAGCTTCTTACAGTTTTCAGGAATCTTAAAACATGACTTCAAAATATTGTTTGGTTCTTGAAGGGTTACGCTGGGCTTATCTAGAAAATGCATATGTTGCTTAATTTGGAGCAGTGCCACTTCTTTAAATACGATCATCTTTTCGCTGATTAGGAAATCATACCGGGGAACTGTGAAATAATCCTTAGCTGAAGTGATGATTTATATGGGAGCATTTCTTCCAAAAAGCGCTGCTCGTATATTTTAAATATCTGTTTATGTTATCTCCAACCTTGTGTAACTTGTCTTATTAACTACGCTGTAGGATACAAATCTTGTCTTAATTAATTTATACTGTGTGCTGCCTGGCTCTATAGAAATCGGTTCTTTAAGAGATGTTATTATAATAAATTTTATTGATACATTTCTCCGTTAGTGATTTTTTAAATCAGTATAATTAGAGGTCTTAACTCCAGGAGATGCCACAGAAGCTGAGCACACTTTAGCCAGCTTTTAAAACTTGCTTAGTGTTGATTATGATGGGATCTGAGAGCCAAAATTCAGTAGTCCCTCAATTTCAAGGGTAGATCTGGTTTACACCCTATGAATCACAAGGCAACGAGACCGTCTTTTCGGATATTATTTTTCTGTGATGTTTTCGCATGCTTTATTTTTGGCTGTAAGATTTGGATGAACTGTAGTTTAAAAAAAAAAATTATAGACTACGTATAAGAGTTCTGGGAGGTATCTGATTGCCCAAGATCTTGTGAGGCCCGAAACACTCAAAACAAGCCCATTCTCACTGTTAAGCCCACACCCTTCCTGGATGGCCAGATAGAGGATGATTCTCATTCTCATGAAATGCAAACTGCTCAGGGACCCGTATGTGTGAGGACAGAGCTTGGCCCAGGAACTGTGTTTCTAGAATCTAATAGCGGAATTACTCCCCGTGGAGAAAGTTGCATGGACACCAGTTACTCATTGACTGAATCCCCACCATGCAAGTGTGCTTCCAGAATCAGTCACTCTTAAGTCGTTCCACATGTACTTTGTAAGTATTAATGTAATGGCCCCTGTAACTGGGGTCTTTGTTGTCCATCTGCTGATGCTACAGGTGAGGAAAGTGTAGCATCCTGGTAAGATGTGGGTGTCAGATGACCTGGGTTTTAAAACCATTGCTGACACCATATACTAGCTGTGTGATGTTGGAAAGTTGGGTAACCTTGGTGACATTCAGAGGCCTTATTTGTGAAACAGAGATACAAAGTATCGAGTAGATCACAAGGTTGTTGTGAAGATTAGAGGAAGTAGTGAGTATAACATGCTTGGCTTAATGCCAGCCACAAGCAAGCCTTTCAGTAAACATCAACTCTTACTATTTTCTTGCTATCTTTATAAAAGCATGTCATCAGGATGAAAGGGCCCCAAAAGTCATTGGCTTCAGCTAATCATCAAATAATTTGGTCCCCTCCCCAGTTTTCCCACCGGGAATTCCCCCTGGCCCAGTACTGATTGTTGGAGAACTCTGACTTTTCAAACTTTCTCATATTGACTGAAAATTAGGCTTAAACCTGTAGCGTTCACCATTTGGAAATCCACTGAACAAATGCAAACCCTTTACTCCCGACGGCCCCGTGTGAATTTGAAAATATCTCTAATCATAGGCTTTTCCTTCAGCTTCCTTGGAAGTTTTCCTAACTCTCCCTGAAGCTTTCATTTGATCTCTCTCCTTCCCTTCAGCAGCACAATTTTGGGAAGGATCATTTGTAGGTGGTTTCAACTTCCTCCACTTTTATATTCTCTTCAACACCTTGGATATGGAGTCTGACTCAGCAGCCCCCCCACCCTGAAACACAGGGGCTCTCCACCCAGGGGTCAGAACACGAGGGAAAACAAAGACATAATAAAATCGGCCCTTGTTATTTTGAGCCTTTTATATAATGTCCTAATGACGATACTGAGAGTTCTACATATATTTCCTCATGTAATCCTTACTAGTCCCTACGTGAAGTTCATATTATTATACTCCCCCTTTATTCTTGAGGAAAATGCCTCTGAAAAGTCTAATTGTTCGATGTCCTACAGCTGGGAAGGGGTGTGGCAGGGCGGGTCAGGTTTTATCAGTGGGCTGTCTGCTTCCCAAGACCCTTCGCTTAGATATCAGGTATCTAAACACAAATCAAGATGCATGTGTCTGGGGAGATAGAGATAAACGATCACATTAGTTAAAATCATCAGGCACATTGTATAAAAGACATATTTATGAAATAAAAGGAAATATAACATAGCCCTTTTTGTCATAGAAGGAATCTAAAAAAAAAATCTAGCCAATTCATATGCACGTTGCAAATAACGCACAAAAATTAATCATTCACAAGGGTCCATTAGCAACAGTAGAAGCTAATTCTGTATGAGACACCTTTCTCATTCACTCCTTTATTACATTCTAAGAATAGTTTACAAAGACAAATTATAGGCCCAGTGACAGAGGTGGAGATATACAGGTGTAGGTATTAATAATGATTAAGAGGAGATATTAAGAAATAAATACAGACTATAGAGAGATACAGGAATGGGGAGATTGAGATAAAAACAGAAAAAAAGCACTTAAAGTAAAATTACAGACCAAAGCTTATACATTGACTTCGGATAGTGGTCGTTTTGGGAGGAAAGAGAGAATATAGGACTAGTGTGGGGGTAGGGAGAAAGGAAACATTGTAATGTTCCATTCATTTTATGTACATAAAAATACCTGCGTAAAAATATAAATAAGTGGATAAGAGTGGGGGCCTGAGGTGAGGGCCCAGGTTCAGATCTCCCCTTTTAATTATTTGGGCCTTGCCTAAGAAGCATACAAATGATGTTCTCCTGTAAAACTTTAGATCATTCAGATTTTTAAGTCTGTGTTCTCATAAAAGAGACTCAATTCACAAGTCATAAGGATAACCCCATAAATACGGTTCCTGAAAGAAAACCAGGAGCGCCCCCCCCCCCCCCCCGTTTTCACAGCCAGTCCTGACGCCCTGCTTTTGTCCACAGGTGGTGGGCTGTGACCGGTACCTGGGCAGCCGCGCCAAGGAGGACAACTGTGGCGTCTGTGCTGGCGACGGCTCCACCTGCAGGCTTGTGCGGGGACAATCGAAGTCACACGTTTCTCCTGAAAAAAGTAGGTTGGAAACCCAATTCAACGTCACCAGAAAACAAAGTGTGCTGTAGACCGCCTGCTACCAGAGTGACATTTTCCTAACGCTAAGCTTTTTAGTCGGGAAGAACTTCCGACCAGTTTTCTGAAAGTCAGATTTCTTCCAAAAGGTGTATTGTCAATTTTTTTTTCCCGTTACTTCTTCCAAGAGTACCTGTTTCTCTTGAATTGGGGTCTAGGGTCAGACTGTAAGTCCTCAGTCTGTTGCTTACTAGCTGTGAAAGAAGGGCAGCTTTTTAATGTCTTTGTGTATCTTGGTTTTCTAATTTTAAACTGGGAATAGCAGCCTTCCCGCTGTTGTAGTGTTGTTGTTGAGATTAAATGAAGCAGCCATACTGGCCCCCTCGAGAGCGCTCAGGAAATGCTAGCTGTATTTTCATTAGAAATATTACTCGTTTGGGTCCCAAAGGGTGCCACGCCTCTTACATATGTTAAATGTAAATGTGGATATTTTTTAAACGGGTTTCTAAATTAACAATCAGTCGATTTGGGTATTGTTTTTAAGACAGCTACTGATAGATCTGGAGAAGACCCTTGTCGAAAAGTGTCAAGGGCCGGCTGAGTGCCGCGATGGTTAAGAACTGGCTTGGGATGCCAGAGGGCCCCGGTTCGGATCCCGCATATGAGGGCCAGTGACACTGCCCTCTACAGCTGGGATGCTGAACAAAAGCTCGACCTGGAGCTGGGCTGCCGTGAGTCGCCGGCGACGGCGTGGGCTGCAGTCCCCTGCTGCAGTGGGCTGCCATGGGCTACCATGTGTAGCCAGCAGCCAGCGTGAGCAGCCGTCCAGAAGCCTGCGACTGATCTGCCTCGCCCCGGAAGAGTGCAATGATGGTGCCAACTTGGGCCAGTGAAGCAACGTCCTCCACAACTAG